CAACACCAAACAACTACAGCAGGCGCTGCCTGCGCGTCCTCGGAGCAACAGTAGTAAACAGCAGTAGGCGATCAACAGCAGCAGTAAGCTGCAGTAGCTGTTTTTCGCTCCTTCCCGTTCCCTTTTGGTTCAAGATTTTTAGAGATTTCTCCTAAACCCTCCATTGTGAGTTCATACTAATCTTTTAGGAGCTTTATACCAAGGGAATGATACATCATGCTTATCTTATACGATAAATTTTAAATGTTGTCAAAGACCTTCCAGCCTAGTGGTAAAGGCTTGGGCATGGCATAGTCATGAACCCGAGTTCGAGCCCTGGGAGGGGAGTGTTGGCGACATTTAAGTGGGGCCATGTTTAGCCTCCAAATTTGCCGGGGATTAGTCGGGCCTTGGCCCAGACACCCTTACAAAAAAAAAAAAAAAAAATTTAAATGTTCACATATTGCATTTAATCAGAGATTTTAGGACATAAACTTATAAAAGTTTCAATGAGGGATCTTGTTCATAAACATTAAATGAGTTTGGAAGAATGGGCCTAACCATTTGGTAAATTATTTATTTCTAAATACGGATAGGCATTAAACTCTAAAACTCTCATGCCCTTAGTTTAGAAATTTTAGCAAAGCGGGGCTATTTTGCTTATGTTAAGTCACGTGTAAGTTTCTATTGTTAAGTAGGTACTTCTATGCTTGTGTTAACGAATTCAAGCATATCACTAAATTATGGTGGGCTTTAAAGCATGATGTTTGTTTCATTGTATTGCGTGAAGGGTGGTGTGAGTTGGAAATTAAGCATTGTGATCGTTATGTAAATTCCAAATCACCTTCTCACTCCCACTCGGAAATAGGCATTGTGATTATTATGTAATTTCCAAGATAAAGAGCTTATGATCACGACCCACTACATGACTGGTTTAGGTTGATGTCGAAGGTTTTGTACCGATAAGTGATGCTCTATAACGTTGATCTATGACTTACTTTGTGTTCCGTCATAATTAATGGTAAATCGGGTCTCCTCCGTCATCTTCGGATGTCTTGGCTCCATCTCGAGTTATTTAGGATTAATTGTCCCCTTACGTCGTTTAAAGTTACGTTACATGCATATTTACATATATTGGTTTTTATAGACTTATTTGTCTCCCCGTTTGAACTCAGTAGGCGTAAGCCTAACACTTCTTCTTGATATGGCTTGTATATCAGGTTCCTTTAGCGGCGGGGCTCAAAAGGGTTGAGAGGAGCGTTGGTTCATGAAAGGCACTTTTGTAGTATTGCCTTTGTTACTTTCGAGCGCTGCATTTTTGATGTTCCGAGATTTTTGGAGATTGATAGAAACACCCGTCTTTAATCTAGATATAGTATAATCTAGATTAGGTTGTTAATTATCTTCTCAGTAGTTGGTTTGTAAACGCTTTACTATTTCCCTWTTGTTGGGTGAATTTTATACCAAGTTCTAGTTCTCGTTAAATGTTTTCGGCTTAATTTATCTCTTTTTTTTAATCAGGGTGTTATAAGTTGGTATCAGAGCACTAGTTTAAGTGAACTAGGTAAGGGATCATGACGCCTAGACTTAAGCTGAGACTGTAAGTGTTAATTGTGAGATGTGGGTAGAAACTTTTGAGATAGGAGATACCCTATTCATAAATTGTGGCGATGGTGTTAAGAATTCTTATGTATAACTCATTCAAAATTTCACTTAGCTAATGCT